TTACAAGATGTGTTTCTTTTATAACTTTTTTCAATAGGAATTTATTGGTAGAGATTAGTTTTCCTCTACAGTAAATTGCATTATAATTTAAAAGTTTGGAGAATTGTTTGATTTAACGATACCTACAAAGCAAGAGATCTGCTCCGACCCCATAAAACTATTACAAAAACATAATATGGAATGTAACAATGATAAATAAATCGAGTTTAGCTACAGCCATCCGCATCCCTTCAAGTATATATCAATAATTATGCATTTTTAACTGTCCGCGTTACATGTGCCATCCTATAACCAATTACCTTCTTTTAATATGAAAATAAATATGCGGCGAAGAATGAGAAGAAAAGAGAAGAGGAAAAAAAGAAAAAGAAAGAGGGAGGGATATTACTGAATTATTGATATTACTTAAAGGGATGCGGATGGCTGCAGTTAAACTCGATTTATTTATCAATGTTACATTCCATATTATGTTTTTGTAACACTTTTATAACGTTGGATAAGGTCTCTTGCTTTGTAGGTATTGTTAAATCAAAAAATTCTCCAAACTTTTAAATTATAATGCAATTTGTAAAGGAAAACTAATTTCCGCCAATCAATTCCATGACAAAAATTATAAAAGAAACATATCTTGTAATTTTTTGTGAAAAATATTTTTTGCTACAAAAAATTATATCGATCTAGCCGTGGAAACAAGAATTCAACAAACAAAATATTATTTATTTTTTTTACATATATCAATAATGATTTAAGAAAAAGTTGTAACGATACACCCCCGAAAGTGCATCGTTCCCGGCCGAACAACCGCCGGATGCCGCCCGACCGACGAACCGTCGGGCGAAGAAGGCGCGGTGCGCCCCATATTTTTTAAGCGTTCCAAAGGTCGTCGGCTGGCAACTTAAGGCCAGCCGACAAAGACGTTACCGTAAATCATGTAACGGTACCGGAAACCACCGAACGGAGCCGATCGCGGCCGAATGCCGTAATGATAGGGTATATAAGGGGCTCCGAAGCCAGGAAGGCTACCAGTTCCTGACCGTCTCACGAACCGACGACACCGGGGTAAAGAGTGGCTTTGCCTCGGTCCGAGTGATTCTCGGTGACGTCTCGGCTCGCAGACCTCCAGACACGATCCGCACAGTGGCCCCGAAATACCCAGGAGTAGAGCGTTTCTCTGCTCTTGGCTGAGCGTTTCTCGGCAGGGGCCACTCCGAATTCCTCACACCCGGGGGAACGAATCAAGGGTGAAGCGTTACTTCGCCTCGATCCGAGCGGTTCTCGGACGCTTCGCTTCCCTATTCTCCGTCGACACGATCCTAGACTTTGCCCCCGGGCGCAGAGATTCGAACTCGCGTACGGCCCGCGCGCCGTACGCGCGCACCAACCGGGTACGCCCGCACACGCCACGAGCGCGTGACCGCGTCGTTAGGCCGAGCGCTCGCGCCGCGCACCACCCCGCGCTCCGGGCGCGCGCCACGAGTTACGAACAAACACGGCGTGAGGCATTGCGACCGAGAGTAACGATACTGCGAGTAATTATGGACTCTCTCCTTTTCTTCTTTTATTATAAATTAGTTCTTCGCGGCGTTTTCTTATAAGTTATTATC